ATAAATCAACTTTCTCGTTTGTCCCAGATACATGCATAATATTCACTCAATTATAATTTGAAAGTAATGCTCTTTTATCGGCTACGAGAATACAAACTCTTCTAGAGACCTCTCAGACATCTGTCATCTGAATCCAATTTACACTTATAACTAGAAGATGAGTAACACTTTAAGTTTAAGATAACATATTAAAGAAGCTGCCAGTGATCCCATACCATTTATAGCAGCTCCGCAGCATGATCAGATCAAAGCATCTCCGTCAACCACGATAATTTAAAAAGAAAAAAACAAGACATTCTATCTTACAGTTAAAAATTTATTTTGAAACTGCAACATTGTGAACTACAAGGGTTAATAATATTATTGCCTCATGACCCTCACCTATCCCCATCAAGAAGAAAGATCAACAATATTATAGTTACACAGAACAGCTCAAGGAGACCACCCTTTTCCTTATACTCCCACGTTTATGAAAATATTTGCCACATCAGAAAGAGGTTAAATTTTCAAAAGATTAACAATTTAAAAAAGAACCAGGTAATTTGCATTTCTAAACAAAGTACCCCAAACATGTAGATGAAGTTAGTTTGAAAGACTGCAGTGAGAGGACTATATGACAGAATAAATACCATCCAGGATAATTATTAAACAAAATCAACCTATTCAGAAAGTTCTTCCATCATCAAGACCGTCTAAAACTCCAAAATGGCCTAATTATAACTTTATAAGCTTCTAAAGAGTGTCATTATACCCATAAACAGAGATTTCTTCCTTTTCAGGATAAGTAATTCCTAGCATTACACATTGATGAGGATGCCAATGGCCAACAATATCAAATTCCCTAGCAACGACATAGTCACATAGTGATAGTACAACAAACAAAATCCAAATAATACAACTTCCTCACTAAATGCATTGTCATGATATCATGCATTAATGCCTCAAGCTGAAAAAGAGTATAAAAAAAGAAAGAAGGTAATTTTTTACAAGAATCAAATGATGCTGAAAGAGAGTATAAAAAAAGATAGATTGTTAATTTTTACAAGAATCAAATGATTCACTATACGACACAGCATGTCCAGGAAAAACAGAATCAATGGTGTCCTTAAAAATGAAGTATGTCAACAGGGCAACAACCAGTGTTAAGCTTGCGTTTGCTACTTAATTGTACACTTAAAAGACAGCATCCGAGTACAACACAACAAAAATAAGAATAAACCAATATAAATACAGCTATTATTAGTTTACATAACGATCTACCCCCAACCACTATAACATTGACAAGGCTTTATATATTAATTACAGGAGCACCATACGCTGATGATATCTAGAGAAAAATGTATAAAAATTAACCCTGTCAGGGATTTTCCAAAACACTGGACCAGGTAAACATTGCATAATTTCATTAATACCTACTGTATTACCCACTGAATTGAAGAAAGTGTTCTAGAAAACTCAAACATAAAACTGCAGATTACACCTCACAATGTGTTCATAAATATATTTCAACACAAGTTATATCAGCTTCAAAATTTAGGTAAAATAAAGTCAGACTTGATGAATAAATAAACCCAGTATCAGAGGCTCTATCCAAATTAGAGCTAAGACCCTTCACACTCATGTATCATGGTTTATATAACTGAAATTCAGGAATCCATTCACAATGAAAAGTTCCCGTTCCCCTCTTTTAGTTATAGACCGAAATGTAGCAACAACTGTATCTTTTGTGATCCATTATCCGAAAATATATACTTCTTACAATGCATGACGCATGCCTTTATTGCCATTACACAAAAGATACGAACACGTGTTTTGTTTTTCGATACATATCTACATGATTGGCTAGGGAAACGAATAAACTGGTCCTTTTCCAACTAAATCTTTGAAAGGCATAACCATATGACAATTCACCATGATACACATGTTCTACTAAGACCCTACTTGACACTTTAATCCGGAAAAATGTTTTTTTGGGACTAGCCCTAAGAATTCAACTCCTAACATATTTACAGGTCTATAATTTCATACTACAGCCCAAAAAACACGCCTTCCAGGGCATGCAAGGCTTTGATTTAGGGGCTGTACACTTATTACTTGCACAATTTCGTCTTACACCTATTCCAAGGATTTACCAAGATATAATGTGATGCAAACGCAAGAAATGAAACTTGTATGAGTGCCAAAGATGCTACTTACACATGCAAAATTTGAAATAAACAAATTCCACCAGAATCTATCTTCAACTAATGTCACATCATAATTGATTATACATAACCACAAATGAACTAAAACCATCAAAGCAAATTCAATTTACAAACAGAAAAACATCAAATTTTACAACTAAAAACACAAATTAAAGCCCATAAACTCAAATTCTCAAATTTTATAATTGATAAATAAATAAATAAATAAAAACAATCCAAATAAAAATTAAATAATTGGGTATAAATTCAAATAAAAGAAATCAAAAAAGAGCTAATTGATGATTACCCAGATGAAATTCATGGCCACATTTAAGTTTAGCACTGGATCTTTCCCCACCATTGGTCACCACATCAAGACAAATTGAACAAGAAATACATGATTCCTCAGGTTCAACATTCAAATCAATTGCTTGATCACTATTAATTTCTGACCTCACCATGAGTATAATCAATTAATTTATGAAAACCCCACAAAATTTCTCTCTGAAAAAACACCCAATTGTGGATCAAAAATCTGGGTTTTTATAGACCCAGAAAAATGATCACACAAAGGAAATAAATCAATAATAATTATTGGGTGTGTTTATCTACTTAAAGTTGGCCTCTGAAATTGGGAATGAATGTCTTGTTTTTGGGTTTTCTTTCTGGGTTAACTGTATTCGCTCTCTCTATCCAAGCTGTAAGGTTACGTGGTGCGTACCTTCCGTAGGATTGTCTCGCTTGCAAGCTTTTGTAAAGACAGAAGGATGTTCACATGATATATATTTCTAACCAACGGTTAGTGTGTTTGTGTGTGTTTGGTTAATTCTTGGTTCAACCATTATTAATTCTTTATGTTACTTTGGGTCAACTTTAATCATTCATTTCTTCCTCATTAATTAATTATCTTGTCCTTTTATCGGTATATAATGATGGTCTTGACGGTACTATAGACGGCGTGAACGAGTCGTTTCTGGTCAATTGTGAGTCAAATGGAGTTTGACTGGATTATAATTTAGGTAATAAATACAAGTGTATCCTTCATTTTGGATTCTGATTAAGTCAAGTAAAGTTTGACTAGATCATAATTTAGGTGATATTTACAAGTGTATCCTTTATTTTGGATTCTGTTTGATTGATTGAATTATGTTTGATCAAGTAAAGCTTGACTAAATTATAATTAGGTAATATATACAAATATATAAATCATGTTGGATTCTGATGGATTGAGGTTTGTGATTGGATCAAGTTTGATTCTAATATCAATTTAGATATCATGAAATAGTAATCAACAATAAGTAATTAATTCACTAGTTTTATAGACGTCGTGAACTAGTCGTTTTTGGTCAATTTTGAGTCAAGTAGAGTTTGACTAGATCATAATGTAGATAATAAATACAAGTGTATCCTTCATTTTGGATTCCGTTTGGTTGGATCAATACTGAGTCAATTAAGTAAAGTTTGACTGGATTATAATTTAAGTAATAAATACAAGTGTATCCTTCATTTTGGGCTCTGTTTGATTGATATCTTCTTTGATTGGATTATGTTTTATCAAGTAAAGCTTGACTAGTTTATAATTAGGTAATAAATACAAGTATATAAATCAATTTGGATTCTGATGGATTGAGGGTTGTGATTGGATCAAGTTTGATTCTAATCAAATGAGATATCATGAAATAGTGATCAACAAGGAGCTGAGTAATTAATTCATTGGTTTCCGAGTCGAGTTAGTTAAAGTTAAAATCATATTCCTAAAAAAAAAAAAAGGTTAAAATCATATCATTTGATTTTGAGTCCGTTTATTGAGTAACAATATATATATATATATATATATATATATATATATATATATAACAATGATGGTGTGGAAAATGCAACTCGAGTTGGTATAGTTCAACTAAATTTGAACTATACATACATTAGATTAAGTCGAAAGTCTCCCTCATATTAGAAAAATTAAATAAATAAAAAAAAAAAGTCAAAGTCAAGCTTGTCACACTAATTATAATCAATAAACAATGTAAGTATACTACCCCGTATTATAAATTTTTCTGAATTATTCTACAATATAATTACTTTCAAACTTTGCTAACAATTTTATTTATTTATTTATTTTTTTTTGAAAGAGCCAACATCTTTACATCATTAATACTCATACTTCCTCCATTTTTTTTTAAATACAATACTTTAACTTTTACACTATTCAAAAGAAAGCCTACCTAAAAACTTTCACTCGCCTCTTCCTCTCTCCCTCTCTAAAAAAAACCCTAAAATCTTTGGCAGTCGTAAGGGGCTACCATCATCATCGAGATGATGATGGTAAGCCCCATTTCTTTCTTTATTTCCTTTATTTTTTAGTCATTAATAATCCTCCTTACTCTCTCTTTATGAGAGTTTTCTTCCCAATTTTTGGGTTTGTTCTCTCCTTTTGTGAGAGTTTGGTGTTTGTCTTTCTTCTCTTCCCTTATGGAAGATTGAAATTTATTTTTAGGGTTTTATTTGAAAGATTGGATTCATGGGATGTTATTCGTACAATTTTGCAATTGGCGTTAGAATTGAGGATGCGATCGACATGGTCAAGCAATGAATTTTCTTCCCAAAATTATGTCAAGAAGATGGACTCCCTCACAGAAGGCTACATAATTCAGCGAACAATCGGGGACTTTGCTTCATCGTTAGATCTAGTTTCTCATCATCATAGTTTCTTTAAAGAGGATTTTTACTTGATCAATTTAGATTGTATTTTACTTTTCTATAATGCTTATTGTAAATGTCGTATGACTTTCAATTAATGATATTTTATCTTTCCCTTCAAAAAAAAAGAAAAAAAAAACTTTTACCATATACTCCACTTTGACTAGTTTTGTTAATTTATAAATATAATCATATGAAATAATGTTAGATTCATCTCGATTTATATTTCATTCTTCTTTGGCTTGATGAGCGCCTTAATCCCACAAATGGGGTTGGTTACATAAACCAACATGAAGACTTCTTTAACATTATTTCATTAAATTTACATTCCTGAGAACCATAGTGAAAGTTTGAGAATCAAATTACTGCATGATGATGCTATATGATTGTATGAGCAAGAAATTCTAGTGAAATACTTCAAACTTTAACCTTAAAAAACAAAATGTAACCACTTTTACAGATGGAGTACAAGGCTAATGTGACCAAAAGTTTAAACTCGGGGCTCAACCACAAGCTGTACACAGAAACGTTCATATTTAACAATCACAAGCAAGTACTTAACTACAACCGGAACGATTATGCATCACTGTCCAGTTCAATCTTCAATTCTTCATTAAACATCCTAAAAAGAAGGGAAAAAAAAATTAATAAATAAATAAATAAAAGAAAAAGGGGGCCAATGGTTGCTTCCACTGCAGTAACTGCACCATTGATTAGCTTACAGTTTCAGAAGTGATATTAGCTCTTGCTTCCAGTGGTAGTCTTTGGCTTCTTGATGATCATTACTGAGCAGTGAGCATGGCGAGCGCAGTAGTCACTCACACTGCCTAGGAATGCCCTGTAATAAAATTTAAGTTATTGTCAGCATAGCTCTTCACAATCTGGTTGTATTCATTCTACAGGAGCCAGTTTCCTACTTTCCTACAAAACAATCTTTTCTTTCTAACATCAATTGGCTTTAGAATATGCCTTATAATTTATTTGCCTCATTGAAATGTAAAATCATTAAAAACCCCTCTACCAAATATTAGAGGAACTTGTAACAATTTCCAGTAGTGAAACCTATTGTAATTTGTAAGTGTTCCGCATCGGAGATGATTCCACTTTATAAGGTAGAGAAGTTATTTGCCAAGGCCCGTTTCATATTAGCTTAAAAATTGACATACAGAGAACTATATACTAACATGAAGCAATGACAAAACGGTCCTAAGGATTATACTTTAAATCTAAGAACAATGACAAAAACACTTCCTAGGATCGTATGTACTTTTTAATCCAATCCCGGAGCAATTTGAGGATATTTTTAGTGCATGCAGCGGCATTTTGGGATTTTTTGGGATATTTTAACTAAATCAAAGGGTAATAGAGTTTCAGAAGAATAATACTACCTCCGTCAGTGGTTACATGTAACTTGAGGGTATTATTTATGAAACATAAAAAATACCAAAGTTGCAGATAACGAGGTAGTAAAAAAAAAAATCTGGCTTGGACTTTTGTAATTCAGGCCCAGCAGACATATTGCAGAGGAGGTTGTAACACTCCCGGGGAAAAAAACAGAAAAATGTGCTGCCATAGTGCCATTTTTCTATAGCTAACTAACAAAGCATGTTAGTATACTAAAAATAAGATTAAAAAAATGGTTAAATAATACCTTATCACACATGTAAGAACTAATAAATTACCTCTTTTTTTTTTGAGGAAAAATAATAAATTACCTCTTAATTGCTCCGTAACCGTGATTACCCACAACCAAAATAGCCGCGTTGTTCTTCTCAACAGCCTCACATAGAACATTCCTAGCATCACCTTCTACAACTTTAACAGCAACGTCATGAACCTGAAGTGTAAGCAAGTTCGATAAGTTCAAACTGCCTCAAGTATAAATCAGCCAGACTCACAAAATATTGTCTGAACAGCAACATTTTCTGATCCAAATATAATTTCAGGCAGACAGTACTATTCTATAATGTTCGAATAAATGTATGCTCATCCAATCAAAATAGATTTAATTTAATAATAATAAATAACTTTAAAGAAGAAATATTAAATAATCACTCAAATTAATTTCAGTTCATAAAAATAAGATAAACAAAACTAAAAATTCTATGGTAGTACCATTATACTAATTTTTTATTGGCTTATTTTTTATGTCAAAATTAATTTTAAATGTTTTTTCTTATATATAAATTTATTTTTAATATTTTTATAGTTAACTTATGAATTATTTTTTAATTTTAGTAATAATGAAAACTGAATTTTGTAAATTAATTAAAAAATTTATAAAAACAATACAAAAATTATTTGAAATTTATAAAAGAATGTTAAATATTAAATTGATGATTGATAATTAATTTTGAAATTAAAAATGAATCAAAATCAGCAAATAAAAAACTAGCATAGTGATAGTCATTTAAAGGAATTAAGGAAGACTACCAGTCATTTCCTATCTAAAGCTTTTCTCAATATAGCCTTCTTAGCTTAATTATATCAAAGTACATGGCGATGAAAACAACAAAACCATTGCAAATACAATAGCAAGTTCATGAATAATTACCGATTTCGAGTTTAGCCTTGTCTATAATCCTGGCAGCATTTTTCTTTAGATCAGCCTCCATAAAAGACAGAACCTCCGTAGCTCCTATATATACAATCATCAAAAAGTCAATTCCAAACCTAAAACACAAGCTTTATTAACTGTCAAAGTTATGCATAAATAAATACCCGACAAATAATAGTTTTTCTTATTCAACCTTGTTAAAATATATGCACTTTATAATTCTGGACTTTTCCTGATTTTATTAGTAGGGGATTTTGCTTACCTGTTGCCTAACGATCTAGAGGTTTCTCACATTAATTGGTTTAATACTTTTATAAAAGGAAACTGCTAATCACATTGTTCCCAATGTTTCTAAGTGCAATAGTTTTTTTTAGCACATAGTTTTATGACTTTTATCTCAGTTAATTATTCTTCGGATGCCAAACCACTTTGGGCCTTACTTCTCAATTGGGCCACCAAGCTCAATGTGTCTAAGTCATGTTTAATATCAGCAAATCAGTCCAAAGGCATGCATAAGTCCATTAAGGGAGTTCATGCGCTCTCCTAAGGGCCCCATGCTATTTTCTACCCATGGGTATAAATAGTCCACCTTCTATCATAAACAGGTATCTAAAATTAGCATCAAGCAATTAGTAATTATTCTCTTACATAGCATTAATACTCTCCATTGATATTAAAGGAATGACTTAGGCATCGGAGGGGCGTTCCTCGGACAACCCCCGAGGCCAGTTAACGTGTTTTGCTATGCTGGAAACTCTCGGCCCAAAGTCAATTGGACCGAACCCCGTCTTCAGCCCACTAGACTAAGGATCCTCTTTGGTCCACATTGTTTATATCGAAACAATTATTATCCCCATAAAGTTTTTCCTTTTAACTATTGCACATTTGCATTATTTGTTTACATACCAATACATTAGTTTGACCAATATTGGTGATTATAAGATTAAAAGTAATCACGTGATAGTCTCAAAATATCAGTACAATATATATAGTTTTCAAAAGTCAATTTCTAATATATTTTATGCTTTTTTTTAGAAAGACTAGCTAAAGGTCGAGTACATACTTTCTCCGTATTAAAATAATGAAACGTTTTGACTTTTTGCACTATTCATTTAATTCACTTTTACTAACATTTATGATTTATATATGAGAATAAATATAGTCTTGTGGATACTTGTTGGAATCGTTCAATGATTAGTTTACTAATATTCAGTTGTTATAGTTTTTGCTTATTGATAATTAATGCTATTATCAGTCAAAATTTTATATTATACATGCACAAGGGAGACGTTTCACTTATTTAAACATGGAGGGAGTATTATTTTAATAAAATTAAAATGTCATATTATATTAGGAAGACCGGCCAAATGTCAAATTATTCATGACAATTTTTCGTTGTTATTATCCTATTGTCTTGATTTCAACGGATTCAAAGTTAGGTTTGACTTTGACTAATTTCATTATTTTGTAATTACCTTTTAAAAGCATCATTTTACGGGGGAAAAACTTTAAAAAAAATTTGGCAGACAAAAACCACCAATTTATTGTTTTTGCAAGATGAAACCTTGACGTCAGTGGCATATCCAAGAATTCTGAAGTGTGGGTTCGGAATCAAAAAATAAAAAGGAATGAAAATATATCAATTAAAGATTCAATACATAAGTTTAGATTTCAGACTACAAATGGATTACACGTAGAAACATAAAAAAAAAAGGAAAAAAAAAAATACCTAAGAATTCTCCGAGTTTTCATACTTTGAAAGTGTGTCAATACATCATCATTAGTAACTCTAGCAAATAAGTCTCTCTCAAGAAAAGTGACTAACTATCATTCATCAGTTGACAGCCCATACTATTCCGCAGCTTATTTTTTACATAAGTCATTGATGAAAACACTCGTTCCACACTTGTAGCCGCCACCGGAAGGATCATACTGGTCTTACAAACAGATAAACCAATTTGTAAGAAGTATGCTTATTTGTTTCAACAAATTAAACATCAAAGAAAACTCATTAGTATCCTTTAAGTCTCCAAACCTTGCATCTTTGCGCATATCATTAATAAAAAAAATAAAAAAAATCCAAGTTCATGACAAAGTGCAATTATTGTCATATCATTTGTTGGAAACTCATTGGGATATAAATCAGCAAGTCTCATCAACTTTTGCTTATCAAATGCCGCAAATGAATTGATCTTCGAGATTTAAGCATGCCATACAAATAAGTGACTCCATATTTTCCTCATCAAATCTATTATTGAGCTTTTGGAGTTGTAAATCAATGACACTTAAAAACATTTCTATTCGAAATTGATGAAGATTTGAAACTTTGGCAAAGACGCGTTTCAATTTTAATTTCCACGAGAAACATACATATCATCCATACAATAAATCTAGCAACATTCATACGATAAATCAATAACATACAAAATGGCAATCAAGACATCAAATTAATTTTACAACAATCATCGATTAAAAACCCAACAAGGCAACAAGTCAACAACCAAGAATCTAAGTATCTAACTCCACAAATTTACAATCAATTATTCAATTATAATATTTCTAATTAGCAAAACAACAATTATCAATTAAATATAAAATAGATAAATTGAAATGTTGAAGTAGAGTAGTGAGGAGGAGTAAAGTACCATGGTCCGTGGGTCTCTAGGTGTGGCGTAGAGGCGTAGAGCAGCGAGGAACCGAGGAGCTTTCGTGGCATCAAGTGTCGTGCACTAACACATTGCTCTATACTATGAAAATACTAAAAAGTATCACTAGGTTGCACACTAACACATTGATCTATACTATGAATATACTCTATTTAAACTTTTTTTATTTTTTTTTATTTTTTGTTTTAAAAAAAAAAACTTTCAATTTATTTTTTCATAGAATCTGTGGGTTCAATGAACCCACTTGAACCCTCCCTGTATTCGCCAGTGTTTGATGTACTTTTTCATTATTGACTAACATTGTCTAGCATTGACTTCCTATTTTTCCTGTGTGCAGTCCTGCAAATATGTAAGTTATTGTTTGCAATCCTTCACTCTTATTTCCCTCAAACAGCCTAAGCCTAATTAAAAAGCATTAGCTAGCTACAAGTGCGACGAAAATGGATTCATGAAGGTTAGATTACCGAATCACTTCCTAATGGTATGTTATGGGTTCGTTTAGATAATGAAGATCTTATTCTCGATTATGTTTCAGGAAGGATACGACGTAGTTCTACACGAATCCTACCGGGAGATAAAGTTAAGATTGAAATAAGTCGTTATGATTCAACTAAAGGTCGTATAATTTATAGACTCCGCAACAAGGATTCGAACGATTAGATAGTTTTTCAACTTCAACACTCCTTTCTATAAGAATATAATTCGAGATTCAAAATAGTCAAAAACCTATTTTCTTCCCAGAATTAGATTCAAAATAAAAACAACGGGATAAAAAAATATGAAAATAAGAGCTTCTGTTCGTCAAATTTGTGAAAAATGCCAGCTGATCCGCAGACGGGGACGAATTATAGTAATTTGTTCTAACCCAAAACACAAACAACGACAAGGATAACTACTATACTAAAAACTAAAAGGAACTATCTAGAAAGAATTGCTAAAAGATTTGATTGATATAAAAAAACGGAAGGATTTGTTTTGACATGAAATGGATATATCCTTAAAGGGGTACAAAAAGAGGGACACCGTTTGCGGCTCAAACTGCAGTAGGAAATGCTATTCGTATGGTGTTAGAGCAAGTTATGCAACGAGCCGAAGTCATGATAAAGGGTCCTGGTCTAGGAAGAGATGCAACATTACGGGCTATTCATAGAAGCGGTATACTGTTAAGTTTTGTACGAGACGTAACCCCTATGCCCCTTAACGGCTGTAGGTCTCCTAAAAAAAGACGTGTGTAGAAATCAGAATTGAAGATATTTCAAGAGAAATGAATGATTCAAAGATATGATCAATTTTGTAAAATATTACTATGGTTCGAGAGAAAATAAGAGTATCTACTTGGACACTTCAGTGGAAGTGTGTTGAATCAAGAACAAATAGTAAATGTCTTTATTATGGTCGCTTTATTCTCTCTCCACTTATGAAAGGTCAAGCTGATACAATAGGCATTGCGATGCTTGGCGAAATAGAAGGAACATGTATCACACGTGCAAAATCTGAAAAAAAATACCACACGAATACTCTGCTATATTGGGTATTCAAGAATCAGTACATGAAATTTTCATGAATTTGAAAGAAATAGTATTGAGAAGTAATCTATGTGCAACTTGTGAGGTGTCTATTTGTGTTAGGGGCCCCAGATGTGTAACTACACAAGACATCATCTTGCCGCCTTATGTAGAAATAGTTGATAATACACGGCATATAGCTAGCTTGACGGAACCAATTGACTTGTGTATTGGATTACAACTTGAGAGAAATCGCGGATATCATATAAAAGCGCCACATAACTTTCAAGACGGAAGTTATCCAATAGATGCTCTATTCATGCCTGTTCGAAACGTGAATCATAGTATTCATTCTTATGGAAATGGGAATGAAAAACAAGAAATACTTTTTCTCGAAATGTGGACAAATGACAGTTTAACTCCAAAAGAAGCACTTTATGAAGCCTCCTGGAATTTAATTGATTTATTGATTCCTTTTTTACATGCAAAAGAAGAAAACTTAGATTTAGAGGACAATTAGCCCAAAGTTTCTTTCCCCTTTTTTACCTTTCATAATAGATTGACTGAAATACAGAAGAACAAAAAAAAAGCATTGAAATTTACTTTTATTGATCAATTAGAATTGCCACCTAGGATCTACAATTGCCTAAAAAAATCTAATATACACACATTATCGGACCTATTGAATAACAGCCAAGAAGATCTTATTAAAATAGAGCATTTTCGTATTGAAGACGTAAAACAAATATATGGCACTCTAAAAAAGCATTTCGTAATTGATTAATAAAAAAAAATGAAAAAAAAAATGAATTGAATAGGTGTATCCAGGGAAAACTCACTTCGAAGCGACTATTCCCTAGATACACACGTCGTATTATTTCAGAATTGAATCAATTTAAAAAAGACCTAAAGTTAGGGATTTATCAATAGGTAATGTTGCTCCAATACCCATCCAAAGGGCTACTACTGTACCAACCAAAAAGACAGTGGTAGCTACTGGACGCCGAAATGGATTTTGGAATTTATTAACATTTTCTAAAAAA